CCCCTGCAGTATAAGCCACCCAGAATCACTTTGGAAATGAGATGGGTGGTAAATAAGTTTAATAAACAAATGAATAGTAAAATAAATAAGAGTAGAGTGAAACTATTTCAGGTGAGTCACGTTAGCCTGAATGCGGATCTTGTTAGCCACCGATATGGGACGGGCTCACCCCTGTCTAAACTTGCCCCTTTCCTGCCCGATCGGATGATGATTAGTCAAGCTGAATAGCACAGAGCTGAACCTCTCCGCTGTGGAGGTAATTACGATCTCTTAGAATACCCTTTTCATGAGAAAAAATATTTGCTGATGTCGAGGTAGATTACGTCCAGGGCATCCCCTCAATCTACTCAACTAGCAACTGTATAGATACGGCAATCGGGTTAGTCAGGCAAACCCAGACTGGCCCTCGGTCCTTGTTGTCCTGGGATCACCAGCGTGCTGTTGAATCATCCGCTGAAGGATTTGACCCTAAAAGAGACTTCAAGCTGACATACCTTTCCTGGTCCTCCTCCTTCCTATTTTTTGAAAATGGAGGGACTGTATTTGCTTTCCTCTCACAAGTTCTCGGAGGGTTCTCAAAGGCGGTTTGGCTGTCACTTCTACTGGCTCCTTCAAATGGATAATTCATCTGGCTTTGGGGACCAGAATTTGTTTACAGTCACTAAATTAAATGAGCTACCGTGTTTACCCCCAAAATAAGACCCTGTCTTATAATTTTTTTTTTGTACAAAAAAGGCACCAGGTCTTATTTTGGGGGGGGAGATGTCATCCACTACGTGCATTGCTCCTGGCCTCCTTTTCGCTGTCAGAGGCCTTCAGTGGCCAAGACTTTCCTGAAGGCCTCTGCAGCCAAGAACAGAGTTCTGGATCGATCCTGAGCTTTGTTACCAGCTCCAGAGGCCTTCAGGAAAGCCTTGCCAGCTGCAGAAGAAATGGGCCGGAAAGGCAGGTATTGGAGTGTGCTACAACTGGCTACAACTGTCCAAAGGTAAGTCTTAGGGCAGCTCCACCCTCCCACATCCCCACCCTAGCTTAACTTTTACCTGTCTGGAGTGGGTGGGGTCTTAATTAGGGCTTACTTTGGGGGGTAGGGCTTATTGGGCGCACGTGTAAAAAATCTAGCTAGGACTTACTTTCAGAGTAGGACATATTTTTGAGGAAACAGGGTACATGCTCCTTGTCTGTCCTGAACTGTTCCTGTCCCTCTCTCGCTCATGGCACAATTGCATCCAGTCCAGCTTTTCTTTTTTCCCTTTCCGAGATTAGACATAAAATAGGAATGAAGTCCAGGTGGGCAGCTGCGACCCCTTTACAACCTGTGGACTTTCAAACACCGACAGTTCCTGAGCCAGCACCAGATGCTGTCTTACGTCATGGCATGGCTGCCAGTCGGCTAAGCTCTGCCCCCCGCACGCTGACAGCCTGACTTTAGTAACGGGGGAAGGAGGGCAGGGAGGGAACCAGGAGGAATCGAGGAATCGTCCCGTGAGAAGGGACAGCGTTCCAAGGACATGCCGAAGCAATGCGGTATCAGCAAGCCCTCCAGATGAGGGACTGTCACTCAAACTGTTAAAACCTCATTGGACTGTCACTGATAACCCTGCGGCCGGCGGGAAGGGAAAATTAACATTTGCCCACGAAAATTTGAGACCCAGCTTTGCTTCTGCTGTAAGCAACTTTGGCTCTAGTAAAGTATATTCTTCTTAAGCTAAACAAAGGCCAAGAATCTTCCTTTTTCTGACTGACGCTTGATCTCTTGCTTCCCAGCCAGGGCAAGGCAGCAGCCGACATGACGACCAGCCAGAAGCACCGGGACTTTGTGGCCGAGCCGATGGGCGAGAAGCCGGTTGGCACCTTAGCGGGGATTGGAGATGTCCTTGGCAAGAGGCTGGAAGACAAAGGGTTTGACAAGGTATCCTTCGAGCCCCCGAATCTGAAAGCCAAACCTGGATCCGTAGATGGAGAGAGAGAGAGAGAGAGGCAGGCCGGTGCTTTCTCCTTTTCTTGGATAAATCATTTTGTGCCCTTGGGAAATTTTAGCGGGGTCCCTGTAACTTTGGGGGAAGCAACCTGGCTTTTCCACGGTCTGTCCCAGGATGAGAACGGATTGTGCCCCAACCAGAAGAGCCAGCCAGCCTGGAGAGACCTAGAACTAAGAGACAAGAGATCGATCAATGCCTTGCCCATCCGGCCCCCAGCTCCCCACTTCCAGTACAAATTCGTTTACTTTATGTGTGAGTGTGGGAGGGAGGGAGAGAGAGAGAGAGAAAGAAAAAGAAATACCACTCATGCATCATCACAAAATCTCCAGAACTGTAAAGCCTACAAACTTGAAACTTGGCACGTATGTTCCTCTTGGCTTCTAGGGGCTCACTAAGAAAGGATTTTTTGAAATGACCATCAGAGCATTTAGAGTATTTCCTATATTATTATTATTATTATTAATATGCTCTGATGCTAAGGTGTTCTACTCCCCCACCCCACCTGAAAAGAAATCTCTTCCAAATGCAAAACACAAGCAGAGGAGAGGAGTTTCAGTTTCGGTTTTAGTTTCACAGCACCAAGCAGCTTTAGTACAGAACAGTTGAGCTAAGCCATGACCAGGCTCCTTACTGTCTCCTTGCTCGCACAGCAAATACTCTTTCAGTTTCCAAACAGCCCTCAACTCTCTCACACACTGGCAGGACGCTAGCCAGATGAATACTGATGGATGCTGGGAGGCAGAGGCAGAAATTTTTTCCTCCTTATTTTCCTCCCAAAAAAACTAAGCCCGATCACATAGTTTCGTAGCAAAGCACAGGCATCGAGCTAGTAAATCCACATAGGTAAATTCACTTACAACCTTTATTTTTTAAAATAAAAAAAAAAACCCTGCATAATAAAGACCTCTTTAAAAAAAAAAAATCCCCCCACCCCACAAGGCCGCAACAGCGCAATCAAATCAGCCCCTTGATTGGCTCCTCTCCATTTGGGGTTCCGGGAGACCATGGCTAGAACCAGGCTTTTAGGGCCTCTTGGGAAAAAGGGTGGGGGCCCAAGGTGCGTAAAGCGGGACTAGAACTCCAAAGTGATTGGCTCACAAGTCACCCAACGGGCTTTCATGCCCAAGGTGGGATTCCTAGAACTCGCTCTCTCCTGGTGATTGGCTGAAAGTCACCCAATTGTGCGCATGACCAAGAGGGGACTTGAACCCACAGTCACCCAACGGTCTTTCACATCTACGTTGGGACTAGAACTCGCCATCTCCTGGCGATGGAGCCCAAGTCATCTCGCCATCTTTCCTACCTAAGGCAGAATTAGAACCCATAAGGCTGCTCTGTTGGGCTTTACACTTCTGGGATACCAGAACTTTTATTGACTTATTCAATGTATTTATTGACTGACTACCTTTTGGTGCCGCCCATCTTGCTATTCAACGACTCTTTAGCCTCCCCGTGGCTTTGTTTTATGCCAGGGGTGTCAAACTCCATTTCATCAGGGTTGTGTTTGAACTGGGGGGGTGGGGGGTGGGGGAGCCAGGGAGGGGAGCACGGCCAGCTCGATGTCACTCTTGTCGGGGGCGCTTGTGGTGGCCCAGGTGGGGCCGGGGGAAATCTCCTGCAACCCTCTGCCAGAGGCTCCGCCCGGGGTGGGATTTTACCCATTCGGACCGGTTCTATAGAACCGGTCGTTAGGATTCTGTGTGGTCCGGAGAACCGGCAAATTGTGCCCCTGGCTGTGCCCCTTTCTGCCCAAGTCAGTCCTTAGCGCGCAAAAAAACCCCCAAAAACCAGTGTGTGTGTGGAGGTGCTGCAAAATAAATAAATAAAAAGCAACGCCCACCCAGCCACACTCACAGAACCAGCAGTAAAAATATTTGCATCCCACCGCTGGGCTCCGCAGGCCGGTCCTTCGCCGTTTCCAGGGCAGCAGCCCCGCGGGGCCTTGAAGTGGACGCCCCCGTTTTCCACTCTGACCCCCCTCCCCCCCCCTCCCAATCCCTCTGTGGGCCCCCCCCCCCCCCTTTCTTTCCCCCCCCCCCCCCCTTTGAACCCAGGCGTACGTAGTGCTGGGCCAGTTCTTGGTGCTGAAGAAGGACGAAGACCTCTTCCGCGAGTGGCTGAAGGACACGTGCGGAGCCAACGCCAAACAATCCAGAGACTGTTTCGGGTGCCTGCGCGAGTGGTGCGATGCCTTCTTGTGAAGCGGTGGCGGGTCATGGAGCCGGGCTGGGGGCTCTAGGGGGGCTCCTGTAGGTAGCTGACCATGGGCCTGTTCCCACCCCCCCCCCCCCCCCCCCGCAGAAACTCCCTCTCGGCTTGGCCACACGCGCGCACAAGGCTCCCTCCGGGATTTCCCTCCGAAAAGTAGACAAAAAAACCGATTGCGCCGTTTTAACCTTCCCTCAACCTTCTGCTCCCCCTCGGAAGAGCGAGTCGAGAAGGGTACCGGGTTCCAGTCGTTGACAACCCACCCACCCCCACCCCCGATTGGGTTTTCCCCCCTTCTGTAGCCTCCTCCGTTGAATTCCTCCTTTTTCCTGCCCCCTGCCCTCCCTACCGCTCCTCCGGCATGGCGGTTTAACCCTGGGTATTCCCCCCCCCAAGACACCCCCCCCCCCGAGATTTGTATTATGAAAATTGGTGCAGAGGTTCTGGGCCCCTCTGGGTAACTTGACACTACAGTGGTTTTGACCGTCAGGAACCCAAATAACGCCACGTTTTTAAATCAATAAAAAAAAAATCAGCTGTGTTTAATATTCCGGGGTGCTTGAAAAGTCATTGCGGGGGGGTGGGGGGGTGTTCTCTTCGTCAGCAAAATGCCTAAGGTTTAGTGGAAGACTTGGGGTGGGTGGGTTGGGGGTAGATTCCGGGTAGGGCTGTGTGGCAAAGCTCCCCCCACCCACCCACCCACTCACAGTTGCATTAGTCGCTGAGTTGAAATAAAACTTGGGCGTTGCTCTCTTAATCTCACTGTACGACAGGCAGGGGCGGGATTCGACTGGTTTGGACAAAGCCAGATGTTAAATTTGCATCTGGTTCGCCGAACCGGTATTTGAACCAACCAGCTGCCCCCTCACCCACCCCCCACCCCCAGAGTCTCCACGCAGCCCATTTTCGATGCAGGTAAGTCCAGGGTCTGTGCAGAGGCTCTGGGAAGCGGTAGAAGGGGCCTTGCAAAAGTACCTGAAGTCTGGAAATGGACCTGTTTCTGGCTTCCAGAGGGTCTCCGGAGCCCGGGGGGAGGCCGTTCTCTCCCTCCCAGAGGCCCGAGGGAAGCCTCCGGACTGTGGGGAAGGTGAAAAACGGCCCTCTCGGACACACCCACCATGGCCACATCCTCCCGAGCAACTGGGGAGCGAACCGGTTGCTGAGATGTTTGAATCTCACCCTTGACAACAGGGGTGTTCAAACCTTTGCAAGATCTGTGGACTTCGGCTCCCAGAATGGCTGGTGGGGGAATGCTGGGAGTTGAAGTCCGCAAGTGATAACATTGCCAAGGATGGAACTACATCCACATGGAGGGAAGGAAGTAGTTGGGGTGCCACAAGGTTCCCTCTTAGGCCCAGGACTCTTCAATATCTTCCTTAACAACTTAGATGAGGGAATAGAAGGGGAACTTGCCAAGTTTGCAGATGATACTAAGCTGGCAGGAAGAGCCAACACCCAAGAAGATAGGCTCAAGATCCAGATGGATTTTGACAGACTTGAACACTGGCCCCTATCTAACGAAATGAAATTCAACTTAGATAAAAGCAAAGTCTTACTCTTAGGCAAGAAAAACCTGTAGGTACAGGCTAGGTAAAACTTGGTGGAACTGTCGAAGGGATCTTGGAGTCCTAATGGACAAGGGTTTAAATGTGAGCCAGCCCTGCAGTGCTGCAGCTGCCCAAAAAAGCCCATCCAATCCCAGGCAGCATCAACAAAGGGACACCATCAAGATCGCATGAAGTGTTCGTACTACTTTATCATGGCCTTAGTGAGGCCACACCTGGAACACAGCATCCAGTTTTGGTCGCCAGGATGTAAAAAAAAAAAAAGAGGTTGAGACTCTAGAAAGAGGGCAGAGAAGAAGCAACGAAGATGATTTAGGGGACTGGAGCCCAGACACGAAGGGCGGTTATGGGAATTGGGTACGTCGGGCCTTGTGAAAAGAAAGACCAGGGGTGACTTGATAGCAGCCTTTCCAACACCGGAGGGGCTGCCACAAAAGGCACAAAAGGGGCTCAAGCAATTCTCCAAAGCGCCAGAAGGCTGAACAAGAACGGATGGAAGCGAATCAAAAGGAGAGAAGCAACCTGGAACTACGGAAAGACTGAATTCCTTCCAGAAATAGGGAGTCCTCCATCCCTGCAGGTTTCCAAGAAGAGACTGGACAGCCATTGGTCTGAAATGGGGTCAGGCAGGGCTCCCCAAACTTGGCCACTTTTAAGATTGGTGGACTTCAACTCCCAGATTTCTTAAAAGTGGCCAAGTTTGGAGACCTCTGGTCTCAGGTCTCCTGCTCGCGCAGGGGGGTTGGATAGAAGACCTCCCAGGCCCCTTTAACGTATGGACAGCCCTGCTCTAAACCTTGTCTTTTGGCGGGCAGCCCCTCCCCTTCCCGCCTGGGGCATCCGGACTACGGGCATTTTTCCACCGCAAAGAGGCTTAACGTGGATTCCGAACCTCCTCCTGCCTTTGGCG